TGACAAATGTCATAACGAAAACCTCCTGCCAGCCCTAACTTCACCAGCTCCATGCAGCAAGTGTCTCACCTTCCTGCGAGCGGTTTGGGATTTCCTCTCCTCTGGTGTGGGGATTTTGTTGTGGAAGTTTGTGTGAGAAGCAGCGGTACTGTACCTTTCAACAGCCGGGTGACGAAGGGCTCCGTGAGCTGCAGGATGCCATGGTCGATGTACTGCAGGAAGGTGTGCTGAGGTAGGCAGCGCATTCCCAGCACAGTCAGCAGGGAATTAAATCCTACAAGCACAAGAGAAACCTGTAACACTGCTTCCCATCTACTACATGTTTTTTTTACTTCAGAAAAAGGAAACAAATACTAGATATGGTCTAAGCTAAAATTACCTAGTACTCTGTCACAATCTTAGCAGGACAGGCATGACTTCAATTTTTTAACTCGTTCTGAAGCATCAGTGGAGCATGAGAGTTTGTTTCATCGCTTCTAAATTGAAATTATTCTAGGTCAACATTGGTGCATTCTGGGGCAGCACCATTTTTGTTATAATGGTAAAGAATTTCCCATTGACAGTAAAGCAGCCGTGTTAGAAACAGTGACCATATAAATAAGGTCATGCTTTCAAAGAAAATCAGTCCTATAAACATGTAAGTGTAACACAACATGACTTACAGTATCAGTCAAGAACCTTCAAGTCAGTTTAGTCTGTGTCATTCTAATTGTGTCAAGTTTTGTGTTTGACAGAATCAGCTCGGTGAGCCAGTTCTCAATAGGAAGTGCTCTTGAGTTATAAATTATGTTCAGATGCATTCAAAATGAAAAAAGGGGATGCTTCAGGAATTCCAACAGCTGTCCTAATACCTCAAATTAGGCCAAATGTTCAGTTTTGGATTTAGAGTCACTGCAATGTTATTCCAGCCTTTCTGGTCATCTGTGACCATTATGGGGACTCTGATCATAATAAAAAAAATGTTTTTTAAGTCAGTCCACCTGGCTAAGTATCAATTCCAGCTGTAAAAAAACTTCAGAGAAAACTCACGCTTAGAAGAAGCAGAAGTCTGCGGTATTTGTGTCTTAAAGATACCACACTTTATCTCTGAAATAATCAATGGATCAAATAATCAATAACTGCTTTATAAGTCTACAAATCATCTCAGATATGTTGCCAGAAGATGCTTTTCCTGCACAGGACCAATTTGCCAGAAATATCACTGAGAGATGGTGTCTCTTTCACACCTCACAGCAGAAACGAGGACACAAACCGAGACTCTTCCACAGACACCCAGATTACACACTCTGCCCTCGCGCCAAGAGTCTCGGGATGACAAACATCCAAAAATACATTTTTTCTAAAATTCCCACAAAAACTTCCATGGTTTCAGGCTAGAAACACATTAAAACATTTTCGCAATGATTAAAAATGAGGAGGAAGGTGTTTCCATGGGCAGAAATTACACAATTCTCCACACATCAGACTTTTTATGTTTTCATGCTTTAGAGTTATTATTCTTCTTCTCACTATTCTGGTATTTCAAATTTTTCTAAATGCATCCCTTGCCAACAGCACCACAAGCCTGCTAGTACCTAGGGAGTCCACTGGAGTCACTTTGCTGCTGAGGGTTGTGGGAGCTCTAGCTGACTAATCCCACCCTCCTCTCTGTGCAGTTCAGCCAATCCACTGCCTCTTGGGGAAGCCCAGTCACAGTCAGCTAGTGACATTGTCCAGGCTTGAACCCGAGACACGTGAAAGTGTCGGCTAGCGGCATGAATGAGTATCGAACCTGCGGCGCCCGGACCAGTCGGTAAGTGACGTGAACGATGCTCAAACTCTACAGCCTCTCTTATGTCCTGATGAAGACAGAAGTGACAAGGGAAAGAAATCCAAGTGGAGGAATGGGGGGTCGGGGGTGGTTACGACTGGACTCCCATCTCCTGTGCTGATGACGACAGGGTTAACCTGCGCATTTCACACATACGCATCACACAAGCAGAGAACCACTTACCAGGAGGCAGAGGCAGACACTGACTCTTGGCTGCTTCCAAAATCCGGCTCATCAGGTGGAACACAGCCCACTCAGAAGAGCTGCCCCGCTCTTTGCTAGGGCAGTAAAAGAGAATAGAAAACCAAAGTGTCAGATGAAGCACTAAATTCCATACTGTTGTAGGCCTCCCCCGCAGAGACAGGGACTAATCACCCACACAAGGGAACTAAATAGAAAGAAAGGACCCTCAAAATATAATAAATAAATAACGCTCTACTGTACTTTGTGTGCGTTAACATCTGCTCGATCCAGTGCTTTTTGTACTCTTGTTTCAATAAACCACACAACGAGATGCTTCTGTAAAGCAAAGTGAGCACTGATCCACCATACCGAGAGCACTGTTATCTGCAGCAGTGTGGAAATTCAAGAACACTGACGAGAGATTTTCAGTAAGCATAATATTTTAAATGAAAGCTTAAAATAATGTATTTTCAGCCACATCGTACAGCTTTTTTCTAACACCTAAAGTTGACCTCTGTACAGTATGTAGTAAAACATTCCAAAATATATAATACATTTTTCTATTCCCCTATTAAAAGGGTGGTGTAGTGCAGTAAGTCTTTGGACTCATGACTGACAGGTTGTTGGTTCGAGTCCCTGCTGCAAACCCTGCTCTTGTGCCCTCGTAGGTACTCTACCCCAGCTGCTCCAGTCCTCCCAGTTGTAGAAGAGCAGCTCAGTATCGCTAAAGGGAAATTCTTGTAATAAACAGTGTCCTATTTGGGCAGGAGAGACTTAACTTGCTGACTAGTCCACTTAACAATAGAGAAACCAGGAAGAGTTCTGGCCTGATGAGCCTCTGTGGCTTGGGTATGGACTTTTTGTATCTTCCAACAAACAATGGAAATCAATCATCTTGCCAATAACTGTAACTTTGTTTCTCAGAGTACTTTATATAAGCAAGAGTAACAATTACTTACACAGAAAGGACATTTGAGCTCAGGTTATACTTTATCCATACAGTCTCCAGAATGTGTCGGGTTAGTTCCAGCTAGAAAAAGGAGAAACAGATCAAGTTCCCTCAAAATCCTTCAAGTCCACTTATTCACTGACACAGTAGAGGTATAGGCAGATTCTACCAAGACAGATAAATAGCAATGCTTTGTTAGAATGAAAGTGAGTCCAGAATTGAATCTTTTACCGGATTTTCAGCTTTTCAAAAGGACTATTTTTTTTGGCAAAACCTATGCTAAGAAGTTTTTCCATCATATATTCATCTAAGGGTAGCACAGTCTAACGTCTTTCACTTTGCTGCCTCTGGGGACTGAGGTTCAACTCTGGAAATAGGGTGCTATCTGCAAGGCGTTTTTATATCTCCCTGTGTTTGCGTGGGTTGCCACCCTCAGTCCAAACACCTGTGGATAGATCAATCGGTCCTGTTGGGTATCTGTGCCCTGTGCTACACTGGCTGCCTATCTAGGACGTATCCTGCCTTGCACCATTGCTTCCTGGGATAGGCTCCAGCCTAATCTGAACCTGAATTGGATAAACGGTAATTAAAAGTGATGCAATGTTGCAGTACTTATTTGAGTACGCAAACATGATATTGTTTAACTGCGTTTTAGTCAAAGCGTATATACTGTAATAGTGTCGCAGTAATAGGAAATTCAAAACTGGAGACTTTGTGGGTTAGAAAGTTGCTCAAAATATCTCAAGTTAAAAAAAAAAACCCTTACTTGGGGTGGGGAAAATTATCGCAGAGAAACTTCAATTATAAAAAGGAAAACAGACTGTCAGCCCCTAACAGGTAGAATTTTAGTAATCAGCAATGTAACACTGGTGGTAAAGACTGCTCGTCAGACAGGATAAAAATCATCTCTGGGGAAGAGCTCTAGACGTGAGAGAAGTGCAGCTCTGCCACTGACAGGTTTTAAACACGACCATTCACATGAAGCCCCTGCTATGAACCCATACCGCATGACCCCCCAGACAGAGCAGAATCCAGCTACACCAACAGACCAGGCCCCTCAAACCCAGGTTCATAGCAGAATCCTCCATTGTGTAAAATGTACAAATGTGAAATTACACCATCAAAAATCCTTTCTTAAACAAGGTATCTGGGACATGAGCCCAGTGTTCTGGTTTTAGAGATTGATCATAAAGATATAACAATGGTCCCTCAACACTTCAGCTGATGTTGCTTAGAAAATAAGTAAATAACCAGATGGATAAAATAATTTTAGAGATGAGGGCTTCCTGTCAAGTATCAGTGGGATGGGACCAATGGGCTTGGGATAATTATAATCCAATCAGCTCTTGCTAAAAGCTGTGGGACTCCCGTGCTTATATGCAAGTGCAAATATTTCTCTTTGTTGATGTACACCGAAAAGGCCACCACAGAAAAGTCATCCACACGAATTAAAGTAGCGACTCTGAATATGAATCTCCGGCCTGTCTTCAGTATGATTGCGGCCTATGTGTGATTTCTGATTCACACCCAAGCTTGTCCAGAGCTGGAGAAGGAGGCTTCTGACTTGTGCAGAATGACAATGGGGAATTCCACACCTGGGATAGGAAATGAAAAACTACATGTTCGTAAATAAAAGCTGCAAAGTAAAAAAAAAAAGTTTTAAAACTTTAGAGGAAATCACACAACGTCATAACTACAAAATGCTGGCATCATATGTACACGTGAAAAATAGTTTTGGGTGTAGTCGTTTCCTTAAAGCACTGTACTTAATCATGCACCTCACTGAAGGGAATCATATCACAGTCCGTTTGCATTGTTGCTCTTGACACATAGGGACATTACCAAAGTGAAAAAATGATGTGAACATCTGGGAACAACTACATTTCACCCTCACAAAAGTAGCCTTGCAGTCACAAAAAGCAGGCTCAGTATTTCACTAGAAAAAAAAAA